AAATTGATTTTCATTTTCATTTTCAAATTGATTTTCAAATTGATTTTCAAATTGATTTTGATTTTGATTTTGATTTTGATTTTGATTTTGATTTTCAAATTGATTTTGATTTTCAAATTGATTTTGATTTTGATTTTGATTTTGATTTTGATTTTTAAATTGATTTTGATTTTGATTTTTAAATTGATTTTTAAATTGATTTTCAAATTGATTTTGATTTTGATTTTCAAATTGATTTCCAAATTGATTTTGATTTTTAAATTGATTTCCAAATTGATTTTGATTTTGATTTTGATTTTGATTTTGATTTTCAAATTGATTTTGATTTTCAAATTGATTTTGATTTTGATTTTCAAATTGATTTCCAAATTGATTTTGATTTTCAAATTGATTTTTGTTTTGATTTTGATTTTGATTTTTAAATTGATTTTGATTTTCAAATTGATTTTGATTTTGATTTTGATTTTGATTTTGATTTTGATTTTGATTTTGATTTTGATTTTTGATTTTGATTTTGATTTTCAAATTGATTTTGATTTTGATTTCCAAATTGATTTTGATTTTGATTTTTATATTCAAATTGATTTTTAAATTGATTTTGATTTTTAAATTGATTTCCAAATTGATTTTTATTTTGATTTTGATTTTGATTTTGATTTTCATTTTTAAATTGATTTTCATTTTTATTTTGATTTGTGTTTTGAAATATAAATATTTTTTCCATTTGAAAAACTTCATCTAATTTTTCTGAAAGAGATTTTTTCAATTTGTTTCTTCTTGTTTTAATATCCTTAAGTTTAATTTTACTGTTTTTATACTTTCTAGAATATTTTTCAATTTGATTTGGATTTTGTAATGAATTGATAAAAATATCATGAATTTCTAATAAACCCCAATTTTCCAAAAGTTGAATAAAATTATAATTATCATTAAGAAATGGTTTAAATTCTTCATTTTCAAAATTTTGTGAAGAAATTAAAGTTGAATTTAAATTTAAATTTGAATAAATTTTTGTTTCTGAAAAATCCTTTAAAACACGATTTATTTTAGACTGTAAAAGTTCGATTTCTTGAATAAATTTGTTTTGTTTTTCTTCATTTAAAATAAAAGGAGAAAGGTTATTATCAAATTTAAGAATATTTGAAATTTCTTTTTCTATTTCAATTTCTTTTTTGGGATTAATTGAGGAATTTTGATTCGTTATTTCTTCTAATTCTTGATTAAAATTATTGTGAAAATTATTATTTTGGAAAGAATTTTTTTTTATATTTGATTTTGGATTTGGTTTTTTTAAAGAAATTGTATTTTCAGAATAATTTGGTGATGATTTTGCTCGACTATTTAATCTTAAATTTTGTTTTTGTGTTTTTTGTGGGAATTTATATTGTTGATTGTTTTTTTCAAATGAATTTATTTGAGGAAGATTTATTTCTTTGATTTGAGAAAATTTTGAATGATTTTGTTTCATTTAATCTTTAAAAAAATATATATAAATAAAAATGAAAAATGAAAAATGATTTTTTAAAGGCTAATTTATTAATTTATTTTAGATTAAATAGAATAAAAAAATTTATAAATGTAAAATAAATATTTAAATTAAAAAAAATGATAAAAAAATGAAATTGACATTGAATATAAAAAATATAAATATAATTAAATATAATTAAATAAGGTTAATTTAATAATCTATTTTAAATTAAATAGAATAAAAAATTTATTAATTTAAAATTAAAATTTATATTAAAAAAAATTATTAAAAAATCTATTTAAAAATTGAATTTAAAAATATAAATAAAATTAAATATAATTAAATAAGGTTAATTTAATAATCAATTTTAAATTAAATAGATTAAAAATTTATAAATTTAAAATAAATATTTAAATTAAAAAAAAGATAAAAAAATGAAATTGACATTTAATTTAAAAATATATATAAAATTAAATAATATTAAATAAGGTTAATTTATTAATTTATTTTAAATTAAATAGAATAAAAAATTTATTAATTTAAAATTAAAATTTATATTAAAAAAAATGATAAAAAATCTATTTAAAAATTAAATTTAAAAATATATATAAAATTAAATAATATTAAATAAGGTTAATTTATTAATTTATTTTAGATTAAATAGAATAAAAATTTATAAATGTAAAATAAAAATTTATATTAAAAAAAATGATAAAAAATCTATTTAAAAATTAAATTTAAAAATATATAAAAAATTAAATAATATTAAATGAGGTTAATTTATTAATTTATTTTAGATTAAATAGAATAAAAATTTATAAATTTAAAATTAAAATTTATATTAAAAAAAATGATAAAAAAATCTATTTAAAAATTAAATTTAAAAATATATAAAAAAATTAAATATAATTAAATAAGGTTAATTTATTAATTTATTTTAGATTAAATAGAATAAAAAATTTATAAATTTAAAATAAATATTTATATTAAAAAAAATTATTAAAAAATTATTTAAAAATTTAATATAAAAATATAAATATAATTAAATATAATTAAATAAAGGTTAATTTAATAATCTATTTTAAATTAAATAGATTAAAAATTTATAAATTTAAAATAAATATTTAAATTAAAAAAAATGATTAAAAAATGAAATTGACATTGAATTTAAAAAATATAAATAAAATTAAATATAATTAAATAAGGTTAATTTAATAATCTATTTTAAATTAAATAGATTAAAAAATTTATAAATTTAAAATAAATATTTATATTAAAAAAAATTATTAAAAATTTATTTAAAAATTAAATTTAAAAAATATAAATAAAATTAAATATAATTAAATAAGGTTAATTTATTAATCTATTTTAAATTAAATAGAATAAAAATTTATAAATTTAAAATAAATATTTATATTAAAAAAAAATGATTAAAAAAATGAAATTGACATTGAATTTAAAAATATAAATATAATTAAATATAATTAAATAAAGGTTAATTTATTTTAAATTTAAAACAAATTTTAATTAAAAATTAAAAATTTATTTAAAAATTTAAAATAAAAATATAAATAAAATTAATTTAATAATAAAAATTTATTTAAAAATTTAAAATTTAATTTAAAAATATAAAAATAAAAATTAAATATAATTAAATAAGATTAATTTAATAATCTATTTTAAAATAAATAGATTAAAAAATTTATTAAATTTAAAATAAATAAAAATTACAAAAAATTATTTTTTTTTTTTTCATTTTTTTTTGGTTTTTTTTTTTTGTTATTGCAAAAAGATTTCAAACAAAAATGACAAAGTATCCAATCACATTTTTCAACATAGTAACAGTATATATGACGTATGGAGTGATGATAATATTTGGGTATTTAGAAGATCTATTTGAGAAAGTATGCGCATCATTTTTTTCAGTATTAGGATTAGTAAAATCAGGGAAGAAAAGGAAGATATTAGCGCCACTAACGGATTCATTCCAAGCATTTTATGTACGAAAAGTATATGGAAGAGTACATGATATTTTAAACCGACCCATTTCATCTTCACCAGCAGCATGGATCGATGTTTTGGAAAGAAAATTTGTCCCTAATAAAGTTAATCAACTCGAATTTACAGGCAAAACACAGAAATGTTTAAACATGGGATCGTATAATTACCTCGGATTCACGGTTCCTTCAGGTTTTCATGATAAAAAAATCGTTGAAACACTTGAAAATTACTCGCCAGCAATGTGCTCGACAAGAAACGAGGTTGGACGCAGTCAGAAGTTGATTGAGCTTGAGAAGAAGGTTGCGGAATTTGTAAGGAAGGAAGATGCGATCTGTTTTGCAATGGGGTTTGCAACAAACAGTACTTCATTGCCGTTAATTTGCGGAAAGGAAAGTTTAATCATCTCCGATTGTCTGAATCACGCGTCGTTAGTTTGGGGCTCACGGTCGTCAAAAGCAACGGTTCGCGTATTCCAGCATAACAACATGAATCATCTGGAGAAGGTGATCCGCAACGCGATTGTGAAAGGCCAGCCGCGAACAGGACGGCCTTGGAAGAAAATAATGATTGTTGTGGAAGGCATTTATTCAATGGAAGGAGAAATTGTTCCGTTGCCGGAAATTATTGCGTTGAAGAAAAAATACAAATGCTATCTTTATATTGATGAAGCGCACTCCATCGGCGCGATTGGCGAGAGCAGCAGAGGCGTTGTGGATTACTACAATTTAAACCCTTCTGATGTTGACATTTTAATGGGAACATTTACAAAGTCATTTGGGTCAGTTGGCGGTTATATTGCAGCTGACAAGGATATTATTGATACTCTCCGTCTCAAGAGTTATTCCTCGATCTATGCTGATTCTTTGTCGCCCGCTTGCGCTGAACAGATCCTTGTTGCTCTCGATTCTATTATGGACAAAAATGTCGGAAATAAAAGAGTCAAAAAACTCAAGGAAAATTCAAACTATCTCCGCAAGAGTCTTATCAATAAGGGTTTTTATACGATTGGAGATATGGATTCTCCTGTCATTCCTGTTCTTATTTATTGTCCTTCTGTTATTGCTGAGTTTTCCCGAAAATGTCTTGCTAAAGGTCTTGCTCTTGTTTCTGTTGGTTTTCCTGCTACAAATTTGGTCGATACAAGAATCAGGCTTTGTGTTAGTTCTGCTCATACTAAATCGGATTTGGATCATGCTATTAATGTTATGGATAAAGTCGGTACAAAACTTATGACTAGATACAAGTTAAAAAACAAAATTAATCCAGATAAAATTAAAACTCCTTTTGAAAAGTTTTCTTTATTAGAAAATAATCCTAAAATTTCTATTAAACAAAATTAACTTTTTAAAATAAAATTTACTAAAAAATTCATTTTAAAAACCAAAACAAGATTTAGATTTAAAAACAAAACTAAAAACAAAAACAAAAACAAAAACAAAAACAAAAAAACAAAAACAAAAACAAAAACAACAAAAACAAAACAAAACAAAACAAAACAACAAAATAAAAACAAAAAATAAAAAAAATAAAATGATGTTGCCAAGAATCGAACTTGGGACCTTCAGTGTGTTAAACTGACGTGATAACCCCTACACCACAACACCAATTTAAATTTAAATTATTTTTTTTTTCTTATTTTTTATTTTTAAAAAATTGGTTTATTTATTTATTATTTTTAATTATTTTTAATTTAATATTTAATCAAATAAAAATAAATAAAATTAAATCTATTTTAAATTAATATTTAATTTATAAATTTATTTTAAATTATATTTATAAATATATTCCACTTTTTATTTAATTATTTTAAATTTAATATTTAATTAAAAAAATAAATAAAATTAAATCTATTTTCAATTAATATTTAATTTATAAATTTATTTTAAATTATATTTATAAATATATTCCACTTTTTATTCCACTTTTTATTTAATTATTTACAACACCAATTTAAATTTAAATTTATTTTTTTTCTTATTTTTTATTTTTAAAAAATTGGTTTATTTATTTATTATTTTTAATTATTTTTAATTTAATATTTAATCAAAAAAATAAATAAAATTAAATCTATTTTAAATTAATATTTAATTTATAAATTTATTTTAAATTATATTTATAAATATATTCCACTTTTTATTTAATTATTTTCAATTTAATATTTAATTAAAAAAATAAATAAAATTAAATCTATTTTTAAATTAATATTTAATTTATAAATCTATTTTAAATTATATTTATAAATATATTCCACTTTTTATTTAATTATTTTTAATTTAATATTTAATCAAAAATAAATAAAATTAAATATATTTTTAATTATATTTAATTTATAAATTTATTTTAAATTATATTTATAAATATATTCCACTTTTTATTTAATTATTTTCAATTTAATATTTAATCAAATAAAATAAATAAAATTAAATCTATTTTCAATTAATATTTAATTTATAAATCTATTTTAAATTATATTTATAAATATATTCCACTTTTTATTTAATTATTTTAAATTTAATATTTAATCAAAAAAATAAATAAAATTAAATCTATTTTAAATTAATAATTAATTTATAAATCTATTTTAAATTATATTTATAAATATATTCCACTTTTTATTTAATTATTTTCAATTTAATATTTAATTAATCAAAAATAAATAAAAATAAATCTATTTTTAATTAATATTTAATTTATAAATTTATTTTAAATTATATTTATAAATATATTCCACTTTTTATTTAATTATTTTCAATTTAATATTTAATCAATAAAATAAATAAAATTAAATCTATTTTAATTAATAATTAATTTATAAATTTATTTTTAAATTATATTTATAAATATATTCCACTTTATATTTATTCCACTTTTATTTAATTATTTTTAATTTAATATTTAAATTTAAATTTATTTTTCTTATTTTTATTTTTAAAAATTTATTTTTAAATTATATTTATTTATTTATTATATTTAATTATTTTTAAATTTAATATTTAATCAAAAATAAATAAAATTAAATCTATTTTAATTTAATAATTAATTTATAAATTTATTTTAAATTATATTTATAAATATATTCCACTTTTTATTCCATTTTTTATTTAATTAAAATCAAATAAATTTAAATTTATATTTTTTCTTATTTTTATTTTTAAAAATTGGTTTATTTATTTATTTATTTTTAATTATTTTCAATTTAATATTTAATAAATAAAAATAAATAAAATTAAATCTATTTTTAATTATATTTAATTTATAAATCTATTTTAAATTATATTTATAAATATATTCCACTTTTTATTTAATTATTTTTAAATTTAATATTTAATCAAAAAAAATAAATAAAAATAAATCTATTTTTAATTATTTAATTTATAAATTTATTTTAAATTTTAATTATTTACAACACCAATTTTAAATTATATTTATAAATATATTTTTAAAATTTTTATTTAATTATTTTCAATTTAATATTTAATTAAAAAAATAAATAAAATTAAATCTATTTTAAATTAATATTTAATTTATAAATTTATTTTAAATTATATTTATAAATATATTCCACTTTTTATTTAATTATTTTCAATTTAATATTTAATTATTAAAAATAAATAAAATTAAATCTATTTTAAATTAATATTTAATTTATAAATTTATTTTAAATTATATTTATAAATATATTCCACTTTTTATTTAATTAATTTTAATTTAATATTTAATCAAATAAAATAAATAAAATTAAATTTATTTTAAATTAATAATTAATTTATAAATTTATTTTTAAATTATATTTATAAATATATTCCACTTTTTATTTAATTATTTTTAAATTTAATATTTAATCAAAAATAAATAAAAATAAATCTATTTTAATTTAATATTTAATTTATAAATTTATTTTAAATTATATTTATAAATATATTCCACTTTTTATTTAATTATTTTTAAATTTAATATTTAATCAAATAAAATAAATAAAAATAAATCTATTTTTAATTAATATTTAATTTATAAATTTATTTTAAATTATATTTAATTAATAAATTTTTTGATTATTTAAATTGAATTGCTTCGGAGATTAAAAAATTTTTCGTTTAATCTCACTCAAAGAAGATACAAATCCACAATAGCTCCAACTCTCCCCATTCAAAGGATCCTTAGAAAATTGAAAATATTCTTGAGAATCCTCCAACTCTTCTCGAACATCTCGACAAACATCCTCATCACACAAATCAAAATAAAGCCACTTAACCAAAACAGAAAAAGCTTTCCTTCGACTTCCCAGAATAATCATGGACACAATTAGATGAATCTTCCACTTTTTCAAACATCTCCCGAAATAACTCACTCCGAGCTTCAAGAACAAACTTGTGAACCCAAAAATCACTTTCTTCAACAATAATCTTAAAATCCTTCGTTTCATCACTTTCATACAACCTTCTCAAATCAGAAACAAACCCATTATACCCACTTTTTGATTCATAAATTTGTTCCCAATCCCGATTTTCCCAAAATAACCCAAAAACTTCTCCCAAACTTGTTTCTTCTGTGATTTCCCTCTTTTCATATCCTGAATAAATCCAACCAATAAATCTCTGCACAAATTCTGAGTTATACTTCCCTAAAACTGAGCATATTCTTTCCTTTGATAATTTTTGACTTAAATTTTCATCCAAAGAAAGTCGTGCTTGAAAAAGAAGATAATGGACTTGCAGTTCAACACCATCATTGCATAAAACCCTCAAATCACCAGCATTTCTCTGGGAAAGATTAAGGAAATCATTTGTTACTGAAGACCTACAAAAAGGACAGAATTGAGATTTTGGATCGATTGAATTTGTCTGCAAAAAATCTTCATAACATTGCTTATCAAAAGTGCGAAAACATTTTCTGCAAGTCAAAATCTCTGATCTATACCGATCAAACTGGAAAAAATAAATTTGGAAGCATAAAGAACACTGTAAATGAAAAGAGACAACAATTTCCAAGTTATTCCACTGCTCCAAATTATCAAAATCAGAAACAGTATTGATATAATTATTTTGAAGTCGACGATCACGAATATGCTGGCAATCTCTGGGAACAGAAATCCAGTTCTGATAGGTATAATTCTTGTTTTTGTATCCATGCCACATAACCCAACAATCTTGCAAGAAAATCCTCTCAATTTGGCAGTTATGTTGACCACAAGACGGACATTCAATTTGAGATGAAAATTCAAATGGTTTGATCTTAACAAAATATGGTTCGTTCACTTGGCTCAAATGCGGATTAACCAAGAAAAAAGATCCGCTCAATGAACACTTCTCGTTCAAGCATTGGCAATAAAAACTGATCCCCCTTCTCACACCTAGATGTTCTGAATTCGGTTGAGAATGAGGAAAGCAATATTCATGAACCAGAATAATCGGTTCATTTTCTTTGAAGTTTAATTGGTTGTTTTTATCAAAATATTTTTGATAACTTTCAATCATTGTTTCTTGAGAAGGAAGATAATAATAAATATGGTGTTGAGAAATAACATAACAAAAAACAATATGAATTATTGAATCTTCTTTTATATCATAATTCTCCGCATTTTTTGGATCTTCCATATCTCTTCCGCGATGAATCAACCGCAAATCATCAAAAGGAATATATAATTGTGATGATATTTTTTCCTTCATTTGTTTTGTTGTTGTTTCATTTGATATTGTTATTGGAAATTGTTCGTGAGTTAAGCAATGTTCAGATTTCACTTCATATTTGTTTTTGTGTAAAAATCTCATTGAAATGATTTTGCCTTTTATTTGTTCCATCGTCAAATTTTCTTTGTCATAATAATTTTGGAATGGTTGAAGAAATATCTCTTCTTTTTCCTTTTGTAATTGTTGACAAAGTAGTTCATGAATGTATTTAAAACTAAATTCTCTTTTATTTTCATTTGTAATTGGAATAAAATAAATTGGATAAAATTTAAATAAAGGAATAATTGTAATCATTTTTCAAATTAATTAAAAACCGGAAAAAAAAAATAAAGAAAAAAAGGAAAAAATATTTTTTCATTTATTTTTTTTTCCTTTTTTTTATTTCATTTTTTTTCATTTTTAAAAAATGTCTCAAAACAATTTAAAACCTCAACTTTTCATTTGTTACAAACAAAGAAAAAAAGATAAAAATAAAATCACTTTTAAATGCAATGAAAAAGAAATGATTCAATCTAATCAAAATCAAAATATTTGGATTTTTAAAGATGAATCAAATGAAAAAACTCTTAAAGAATGGTCAATCGAAATGAAAAAACAGAAAATAAAAACAAAACATCAAAAGAGATCACAACCAATCAAAAAAACTTTTCCTTTTGAAAAAACTCAATCAAATTTAAATTTTTTCATTTTTACAGAAAAAGAAAAGAAAAGCAAAAGCCAAAAAGGAAATGAAAACGAAAAAGAAATAATTGCATCAGAATTTCTAATTGTTCTTATAATTCAATTTGAAGAAAACATTTTCGGAAATCAAAATCAAAATCAAAATCAAATTGAAAGTGAAAGTGAAAGTGAAAGTGATATTGAATTTGGAAATCAAAATTCAAATCAAAATCAAATTGAAATCCAATCAAGTTTTA